GGTGGGAGGGAGAGTACAGGCTTGCCCTCCCTGCTAGACAGGGTGGTGACCAGATTCCTCAGTCTCTGTTGCGTTGGGGGGTACTCTCTTTTGCACCCTCTGCTCCCTCCAGGTTGTGGAGCCTTGATTATAGGCAGACCTTCACGTACCTACTGGTCAGCTTGGAGGATGGTGGCACTCTCTTGACAGCCTCAGGTGGGAGGCTCTTCACTTTTTTCTCAAGCTGTATAATCACATGCTTCCCTATAATTCGTGTTAGCTGTTTCAGTTTCATTGCTTCTGTCTGGGTGGGGAGTGCTGGAATCCATGGTAGGAGTCTGGGGTTTGATGTTTCAAGGAATTTTTCTCCTTTTCTCAAGGGAGAGAGGTGGAGTGGGGGTAGGGGGAGAGGGTCCTCTGGAGCCTCACTAACTTCAGGCAATTAACTGACTCCTCTTTACATTTCCAAGAAGCAACTGTTAACCAGAAATTCCTGCCCTGTACTGTCGGGCTTGTTCATGTAACTCTTCTCTCCACAGGGATTCAGTGCCTTAACCTCCACACCATCTGCTGGCCCCTCAAGTACAACCTTTAAATGGCCTATTGCTAAAAACAGTGGCAGGAGGAGCAAAGATTCCAAGTGTTTTCTGAGAGTGAGATGGTTTTCCAGGGCCACCAGGAAAAGCCCAGGGACTCTAAGCCTTGCTACTCAGAGCATGGTGTCCCTGCAAGCTCAGTGGTTTTTTTCAAAATGTCTAATTCAAAAAGCCCATGAAGCCTAGGTCAAGGAGGCCCTAAGCTCCGTTTGGCTTTTCCTGGGTACTGCTGAGGACCCCAGCACAGCTTTTACAAATGGCAACCTTGTTGAGTTCTGTATAGGAAAACTGGCAGAGCAATTATTACCAGGGTTTAGTTGCCCTGAGACCCAAGTGGGTCTGAGGGGTTGCCCAAAAAAGCCCTGGGATTTTGGGCCTCATTGCTTGGAACAGAGGGAATTCAGGAAGCTCATTACCTCTACACAAACAGGTCCCCTTTCCTTTTGATTATAACTAGCTATGACACCTGGGTACTCCACGATCCCAGCCTTCCAGTTAGGCTGCTCTGAGGATTTAGCTTTCAAAATACAGCTTTTATTTATTTGGGTATTTTTTAAGAATTTATTTTTTTAAGCATTATTTTTAATTTAATTTTATTTATTTTTAATTTGATCAGAGGGACAGAGTGAGCGAGAAGTGAGAAAGCAAGCTGCCAGGTCCACAACTCTAACCGCAGTTGGCCATATGAGACTCCAGCGCTCTTAACTACCTGCCAGCCTCTCTCTATTTTTACTTATTTATTTATTTATTTTTGCTATAGGGAAATTGTGCTTGCCAGACAGAGAGACAGAGATAGAAAGTGAGAAATCATCCCCCAAAGGGGATGGCCATGCCGCAGTCCTTTCTCCTCCATTCTCCTCTCGGGATCTTGGGCACGCACGCACGCACACACACACACACACACACACACACACACACACGCCCGGCGTGAGTTTAAGCCACCGGGTCTGGGACGCGAACCGCTGTCGACTACGTGGGAGTCCAGCGACATGGCCATTACACTAACTGCTGATCCCTGCCAACCTCTTATTTATGTTTAAAGTTTTCATTTCTGTCATCGTCCACCTCTGGTCTCAGCCAGCTCAAATCACAGGCAAGTACATGCATGCCAAGCACGCTCTGGGAGTCCAGGCACACAAACCTAGGATCTATACCATGCTGGGCCAGTTGCGTTACCATTGTTCCACCACTTGGCCCCAAAGTATGGCTTCTAAATGGTGACCTCCTTAAACTGTACACTCGTAGAATGACAGGAGCAGCAGGAACTCCATGGGCTGAGTTGTGCTGGGTGCTTGGTGTACACTCAGGTCCACCAAGAAAAGCCAGAAACCCTCTCTGTTGAGCATAGTCTCCAGGAAGCATGTTAGCTTTGTGTGCCTGGATGTCTGAGTCATTAGATAAAAAAACCTCTGAAGCTTTGGCAGTTCCTTAGATGACTGTCTAGGTAAGCTGCCCTCCCCCAGAGTAGTGACCATTCTGGACCTAGGACAGCTTTAATACTGCACCTTTTGTAGAATTGTACAGCAGGGAAATGGCAAGAGAAATACATGAATTAAGTTGTACCGAGGAATGGCTGGGTATCTGGCGCCATTCGTAAGAGCCCAGGGTCTCCTGGTCTCACATCTCAGCGTGTGCAATCTTTTGGAACTTGTTAGACCTGAGTGGGAGGACCCTTTTAATTGAGAAGACCTGTGAAACCTGAATTGTTATGGTTCCCAGCTCAGTAGTCTCCCAAAATTATTGAGCATTCGACCTTCTGATACGTGCAGTGGGGTAATGGAACCAAAAACAACGACGACGTTGAGTTGTGCTGAACCTAGTTCAAGGCCAGTCCACAGATCCACCAGGAGTCCTAGCAATCCAAGCCTGCCGCACAGACTGCAGAGGTCCTCCCAGTATCTCATCAGTCCCGAGTGGGAAGCCCCTGAGCCAAATGATAGGAAACAGCTCTGCAGACTGGGTATTTGGTGTCCCAGCTCCCTGGAAAGTCTGTACAGTGAACAGAGGATTACAGTCTCAGAACAGCACTTGAATGGCCACATTTTAAAACTATGGAATGGGGGAATAGCAGGTGAGGTAGAAGCTGCACTTGTTTAGCTGCACTGAGGGTCAGATGTGTTTCCAGGGCAACCAGGAGCTACGGAACTCTAAACTTTAGTGCTAAAACTACAGCACTGAAAACTCCTAGTTCTGTGTTGGCAGACCCGAGTCCTTGAATAGAAAACACCAAGAAGCCCTCGTTCTAAGGCTCACAGCTCCCTTGCCATGATGCCCAAGGGCATAAACATTTGGGCTCCAGCTCCACTACTAAATGGTGACCTCCTAATATCATATATTGGGGTAAGGCCAAAAGAACAGAGACTACCCGTTGAGTTGAACTGAGTTCTGGGGGATCCTTAGGGCTATGAGAAGACCTAGAACTTCAAGCCTACTGCTATTTTATGAGTGATGTTTGGATGGTTCATAACTGACTTGACTAATACAAAACTACCCTGTTGTCTGGGTACCTGAGGCCATTATCCCTGGTTAGGCTGCTTCTAGATACTGACTGTTCTGGTCATAGAATGGCTTTTAAATGGTGAGATTTTTGTTTTGTTTTGTTTTTGTTTTTGAGAGGTTTTTGCTATAGGGCACTTGCACTCACCAGAAAGAGAGAGACAGAGAGACAGAAAGTGAGAAATCGCTCCCCGGGGGGGTGGCCATGCCACAATAATCCCTTCTCCTCCATTCTCCTCTCAGGATTTTGGGCATGCACACACACACGCCCGGTGTGAGTTTAAGCCACCGGGTCCGGGACTCTAATCACAGTCTACTACATGAGAGTCCAGCAACATAGCCATTACGCTAACTGCTGGTCCCTAAATGGTGAGCTTTTAACATTGTGAACTGGGGAAACTGCAAGGACTGCAATGACTTACTTGCACTGAGCACTAGATGGCTTTTGGGGCCACACATCAGAGCCCTATAACTCCAAACTGGTTTCAGAATCCAGAGGGTCTCCTGGAAGCTCCTTAGTTCTCTGTGGTGGGTCCTTAGCTAAGTCTTTCCATAGAAACCACCACCGCAGGCTAGCACCTTAAGGTTCTTGCCTCCAAAGTTATCCTAGCCCTCATTTAAACCCTGAAACTAACCCAATACAGTTGAGGACTCGGGCACAGGCCTTGAAAAACATTCCATCCCAGGTTCAGATGGTAGCTCAGAATGGTCAACAGGATCCCTGGACAGACAGAATCCTTCAGTCTACCCTGAAAAAGAACTTCAGGAACTTGTTCAAACACTGGGCCTAGAGTCTCTCTTCAAATGCTCTTTGAACCTCAGACTTGCAAGTACTCAGTGGCACACTTTGCTTTCACTCAAGGGCCTACCCAGACCTCACTACCCTTCCATGCCCATTCCTCTGTGTGTCCTTCATCCCTCATTCCTCACTTCTCTTTCCATTGACCCCCAATGTGGAGCTTTGGGGTCCCAGGGAGGAGCTACAAATTCAGGCAAGCTACAGACTGGGGTGTAGCCAGGCAGCCCCTAAAGAATCCTCTGCCTTGACTGTGACTGACTGCCAAAATAGCTTGAGATTTCAGTCTCTCCCCTGCTAAATGCTGTTAGGTTTCACATCACACATTACTATCCTGCCTCTTTTTAAAAATGATCTGAGGCAATTTCCTGGGTATGTCAGACCACTGAAAGGGGTCCCAGGCCTTCGGGCCATCATCCCATCTCCCAGCCTGGCCTACCAGGTTCCTCCCAGCCAGAGTTGTGGCTCCCCCCTCCCCTACCGGCCCCCCGAGCCGCTTGCTGGG